CCAAAACTACAGATGTTGGTGTGGATGTGGAGAGAAGGGAACTCTTCTACACTGCTGGTGGGAATGCAAGCTAATACGACCTTTTTGGAAAGGTGTTTGGAGAACACTCAAGGAACTAAAAGTAGACCTACCGTTAGATCCTGCAATTCCTCTACTAGGTATATACGCAGGTGATCAAAAATTATTTTACAACAAAGACATTTGCACCAGAATGTTTATTGCAGCCCAATTCATAATAGCTAAGACATGTAGCCCAAGTGCCCATCGACCCTTGAATGGATTAATAAATTGTGGTATATGTACACCATGGAATACTATGCAGCCAGAAAAAGATGGAGACTTCGCATCTTTCAGATTTACCTGGATGGAGCTGGAACATACTCTTCTTAGTAAAGTATCTCAAGAATGGATAAAGTATCCAATGTACTCAGTACTACTATGAAATCAATATATAATCACCTACACATTCATGTGAATGGCAAAACATAACTATAGTCCAGAAAGTAGAAGGGAAGAGGAGAGAGAGGGGAGCGGATGAGGGATATGGGAGGAGGGGAGGGTGTTTGGGGGGACCTCACCCAATGTGCACGATGCACTGGTACATTTCAAAACTATTAAGAAGTGAGTATAATTCACTTCTTAGTATAGTGAAATAGTATAATACTATACTATAGTATAGTATAATAGTATAACTATTAAGAAGTGATGGATGTGTTACTTAGTTCAGTGTAAGCATTTAACATTGTGTATCAAAACAGTACACTGAACCCCATAAATGCATCAATGTACACGTATATCAAAGCAGTACACTGAACCCCATAAATGCATCAGTGTACAATGTTATGATTTAATAAATAAATAAATAAAAGAATTGTTGACTTTGGATTTTGCTGGAGGATGATCTAATTGAACAGTTTGGAGAATCTCGTTATCATTAGGTCTTTCTTTCTGGGCTAGTCAGATATTTAGTAGAAAAGTCTTTCATATCCTGCCTTGCGGGTAAAGATCTGGCTTCCAATATTCCCCCAGAAATAGGGAAAAAGGGACTGGGGGTGTCTACATTCAGTTTCAGTATGTATGTGACAACATAATGCCCTTGCTTACTTTTTTTTTTTTTTGCAGTTTTTTTGGCCAGGTCTGGGTTTTAACCTGCCACGGTTGTCATATGCAGCCGGCGCCCTACTCCTTGAACCATAGTGCTGCCCTGCCCTTGCTTTCCATATGGCACCCACCTCCTGAGTGGACCTGTGTCTCCAGTTCTGAGACTGTATGTTTTACTCTTTCTAGAGAATAAACCTGTTAGGATGAGGCAGAGACAGTAACCCTTGGTATGGAGTAGAGGAGAGGCTCTAGGGCTCCAATTTCTTCTCTTTTCTTCTCTATTCACACATTTTTATTTTAACACCACCCTGTCTTTACTTCTGGTTCCAGAGTTATCTGGTGCTACCAGTTCATGAACTTCTTGAGAATTCTGCAGTGTAAATGTGTTTGGTTCTGAACTTTCCTTATTTTTCTCTTTGTAATTCAGCTTTCCCAAGTCTGCTAAGTCAGTTACTCCATTTGCTTTCTTGCCTTCCAAATTTGATTATTACTGTTGTCTCCTCTCTTGTTCTTATGGTCTTTTTCTTTTTAAATAAAACTCTTTGGTATCATTTTAGTGCAGTTTGGGGAGGGAAATAAATTAGATGCATTGTGCTTAATCTGTCCTATTATCCTGGGATCCAACATACTATATTCTAGCATTAATTTCATTTAGTTCTAGTTAATTAACTTCTTTTTTTTTTTAAGACAGAGCCTCAAGCTGTCCCCCTGGGTAGATTGCCGTGGCATCCCAGCTCACAGCAACCTCCAACTCCTGGGCTCAAGCGAGTCTCCTGCCTCAGCCTCCCAAGTAACTGGGACCACAGGCGCCCGCCACAACACCTGGCTATTTTTTGGTTGTAGCCATCATTGTTGTTTTGGTGGGCCCGGGCTGGATTCGAACCCACCACCTTAGGTGTATGTGGCTGGCACCTTAGCCACTTGAGCCACAGGCACCGAGCCAGTTAATTAACTTCTAATGAATATATTCATTTTTATATATTTACCCCTTGATATCAGAATTATTTCCTAGACTTAATTTTTCTTCACATAAGTGAAAAATAGAGATTATTCTGTGTGTACATAGGGACACAGTTGTATTCTTTTCAAAATCATAGGGGATGTTATAGAAATATTCAGTTGCAACATATTCTGATTTAATTGACCTTTTACTTAAAATCATAGACTTCTGTAAGCAGCCTTCTAGCTTAAGTAAAACCTGTGTTATAATCCCAGTCATAATATTCAGTATTTGTAAAGAGTCGAATAAAGAATATATATTTTATCAAATCTGAAATGCCATCAATTATCTTATTCCGTTTTCATTAACACCCTGGTCATAATTAGTGTAAATATGAGAAAAATAGTAGTTTGTGATGACTTACAAGTATCTCATAACTACTCACGAATCAACTATACTATAGATTTAAAAATTTAAGAATAAAATTTCAAGAATCAAAAAAAGGTAAAAGCCAACCAGATTGAAACTTATGCCTTGTATATTTTTTGCCCTTCCTTAAACTGTCCTCCAAGTATAGTTAATAAGTGTGATATGGTAGATGTGTTACACATAATCACCCCTCCTTTCTTAAGGTGGGAGTCCAAGCCAAATTTTAAATTTTGTCAGTTTCTGCTGAGTTTCTAGTTAATTGATTAAATAAAAAAAAAAAAACTTCAAAGTATACTTTGATGTGTTTTTAGGGTATTAAATTTGGTTTACCTTTGTTAATTCCCTGGATGTCATTGAGGGACAGACACAATGCTTTACTTGTGACTGTCTTCAGGTCTTCAGTATTTCATAGATGTATTTTGTTTTCTTTTACTCATGTTATAAAATTAGCTTAAAGAATTGGGGATTTGATTGGGTGGGGAGAGAAGCTGTGCTTTCTTTCTCACTTTTGTTCAAGCAGAAAAAAGTAAAGAATTGACTCAATTGACCACAAACAATCCCACATAGAGATTTCGGAAAATTTCCAAGAAGATGTATTGAATTGAAGCAGACAATACAAATGTTATATAAATAGAGTCCCAAGGGTTTATGTTTGGATGAAAACCAATTATGTTAAGTATTTCCTGACATTGCTTGCTATTGTCACAAGTAAGTCATCACAAGTAAGACATTCAGGTGAAGAATGAAGACATTTGTGGGAGCCATGCCTCACTTTGGGGTATTGTCTTCTCACAGAGGAAAATCTTTGAACAGTTTTGAGTGATCATCCAAAAGATTCTCTTTCTATAGAGTCCTGAAAGGTACATCATTACTATTTCTTTTCCTTCCAGGTTTGCTTTGTTAGGTTGCTTGAAGAGAGATTTACAGCTGCAATGTAGTTGATGTCTTCCTGATGGCATTCATGTCATCTTGGGGAAATGCTTAAATCTGAGTTAGATTAAATTCAATTGCATGCCCTCTAATTGAAAGAAGAAAGACAAACTTTACTTAAAGGCAAGCAGATCACAAGTGTGTAAATGAGGAACTTTTCTGTATCTGCTAATGGAGTACATGTATCCAGGCACATTGTACCTATAGAGGCCAATGAGGATGCTTCTTTGTTTCCCCACCAACGCCTCCCATCTCAGGGGAAAAATACACACATGTATATGAGTTATGTAATGACTTAAAGCTATATATGCCTTCAAATAAACTTCTATAGTATATTGCTCTAGTAGTCCATATTTTTAATAGTTAATTCAAATATCACAAATCTGTCTTTGGATTATCTTAATTGATTTAGATATCTGATAACTTTTAATCACAAGTGAACCATGCCCCACACGTGTATGTGTTTATTGTTTGGGCCTGGGCATTGGTATGTTTAAATCATCTCAGCTGATTAACTGTGAGGCTAGTACTGTAAGCCACCAATTTAGATTCAAGAGAGAATTGGGTATGCAAATTGCTGGACCCATGGCTTTACTGGTAGAAATTACTTCCTACTTCCCTTCTGTGGCATTTAGAACAATTCTAATTTGATGTTTAAGGAGGATGAAGGATTCCTCTATGATTTCAGGTGAAACTGGAGAAGATACTGGAGACTAAATTATGTATGGCTTCCTCTTTGTGAAGTGCCCCCTTGACTCTTTTGCCCAGATTTTATTGGAATATATATTTTTCTTACTTTATTTAGGAATTACTTATATATTTTGGTTCTTGACTAGATGTGTATTGCAGATACTTTCTCTCTCTCTCTCTAGTTTTAAGTGGGGATATATCAGATTTTCATTTTTAAAACCTCACTGCAAGAATGAATGGGAGAAATGAGTTTTTCAGTAGACCTAGTAGAAGATGGTGGTAGCTTACACTAGGATATGGGACATGGAGAGAAGTGAACAAGGTCAAGAGATATTTGAGATAAACTCAGTAGGGCATATTAGTGAAGATTTGGTAAGTTGAGAGAGAAGTGTCAAGGATAAATTTGGTTTCTGCTTCAAAAGAGTAAAACTTCATATACCACCACTACTATGGACTTTACTTACTTTGTTTAAGATGTTGATAATATTACAATGATTATTTTCTTTGAATATAAGAATATTATTTAGTATTTTTTTTTGGCAGTTTTTAGCCAGGGCTGGGTTTGAACCCCACCACCTCCGGTATATGGGGCCTTACTCCTTGAGCCACAGGCACCCCTCCACTATTTGGTATTTTTAAAAATGATTTTAAATTGCAAATTTAATTATTTGTCTTGTTTTTCCAGCTTAATAATCTTTTAAAAATATTACTTACCTCGTAAATTATAGAAAATATGTTTAAAAATACAGTATTTAAATTTATTTTAAAAATTATATTCTATCTGGAGTCTAAAAAATAGAATGGCTTGGTAGTTATACAATATGGCTATAGTAAACAATGAAATAAGATATTGATAGGAAATAGGAACTTAAGAAAATCAATGAATTAAAATTGACTTTTTGTTTTTTAGGGGTCCCTTCAGTGTTGTACGACGATGTATCAACAGAGAAACTGGGCAACAATTTGCTGTAAAAATTGTTGATGTAGCCAAGTTCACATCAAGTCCAGGGTTAAGTACAGAAGGTAAGAGATGGATTTCAAGTAAGTTATTTGATGTCTGGCTTTATTCCATCTCCAAAATCCATTTATCAACCTAACCTTCATCTGGGGGTGGGGAAGCAGAGGATGTGATGTAGTGGGAAGTTGGTAGAGACAGTTTAAACTCCATTCTAGTTTGCCAGAATTCTGAAACATGGTATTTGAAAGAGTAATTTAAAGAGTTATAAGGCCATCAAGGGCTTATGTTTTTTATTAAGAAGAGTAAAATCTTGAACATATTTTTTTAGAGTCTAAGTTTGAATTTTATGATGGGGGACATGGGATAGGAAAGGAGGGAGGCAAAATAATGGCAAGGATAATAATTGCAGATTCAGAAGATGATTTCCTTCCAAGTGTATAACTTACTACCTTTAGAATTATGATCTGTGGCTCTGCGCCAGTGGCTCAAGTGGCTAAGGCGCCAGCCACGTACACCTAAGGTGGTGGGTTCAAATCCAGCCCGGGCCCGCCAAACAACAATGACGGCTGCAACCAAAAAATAGCCAGGCATTGTGGCGGGTGCCTGTAGTCCCAGCTACTCAGGAGGCTGAGGCAGGAGATTCGCTTGAGCCCAGGAGTTGGAGGTTGCTGTGAGCTGTGATAGCATGGCACTCTACCCAGGGGGACAGCTTGAGGCTCCTCTCTCAAAGAAAAAAAAAAAAAAAGAATTATGATCTGTTATATCTTATATCATGTTTGACTTAAGTCATATATATACAAAAATTTGAAAGATCAGTACTGCTAGGATTTGCAAGACTTAAAATTTTATTCCAAGATATTAATATGGATAATCATACAGGTAAATATTTATAAACAATATGTAAACCTTTTAAAGGTATTTATTTTTTAATTTTTTTAAGCTGTGATTTCTTGTAACTATAACACATGTGCTCATACTTCAGATGGCACAATTGGCTGTTATATTAACTTTGCTAATTAGCCTGTCTTTCAACTTTTGACTTTTCTGCAGTCCAGTAAAAGATAAATCTTTCTTTAGTGCTTTCATTTTTTAATCCAAAGAGCAATGCAGTTGATGGTTTAGATTAGAAAATGTAGGGCACAGTAGCCTATTTATATTTTATCCAGTTATTTTACTTTAGGAAGTAGAAGCCCACATACTGTGAGCTCTAAGTTAATCTGTTCCTACAGACGTTTTTTTTTTTTTTCCAGGATCATTACTTTTAAATACTTTTGTGACCCTTTGAATTATTATAGTGATTTTAGAAGTTTCTTAGAAGTTGCTACTCACAAAGAATCATTAAGTGATTTGTTTTTAGTGCTTTAATCTTTAAAATCTTTTGGTAAGATTTAATGTTTTATGATTTTATACTTTGGAATAGGCTATTACTGTTTGTTTGTTTTTGAGACAATGTTACTGTGTTGCTGATGGTAGAGTGCTGTGGTATCATAGCTCATAGCAACCTCAAACTCTTGGGCTTAAGCCATTCTCTTGCCTCAGCTTCCCAAGTACCTGGGACTATAGGTGCCCGTCACAATGCCCAGCTATTTTTTTTTTGTTGTTGTTGTTGTTGCTGTAGTTGTCATTGTTGTTTGGCAGGCCCTGGGCTGGATTTGAACCCGCCAACCTCCATGTATGTGGCCAGTGCCCTATCCACTGAGCTACAGGTGCCACGCCCTATTACTGTTTTTTAATATAAATTATTTTATAAACTTAGCAAAATTTAAAATTGACTTTTAAGCATAATTTACAACTAAATTATATTTCCTTAAACTTTAACTCCCTTTAAGTTTAACTTACTATTTTAGTTTTTCTATACTTTGATTATCTGACTAAAGCAGAAAACCAAGCACTGAGGTAATTTTCTATAAACTTAACTGATTATATAGATGTGTTAAATCTTTATTCCTCTTAAATGTTCTGATATTGTTTATAAACTTAGTACAATTCAAACTTAAACTCACACGTCTAAATCAACACACAATTACCTATATTAAATTGCAATAATATGGGCTAAATTCTCTTAAGCATTGTTACATATAATTAGAATAAACATTCTTCTTAGCTTATTTGTTAACCTAAATTTATTAATACCAAAGGTTTGATTTATTTCATTGTTGTACCTAATTCTAAACCTCTACGGCAGAGTGCTCTATCTCACAGCACATTTGAACCTATAGTTAAACTTCCACAGTACACTTATATTATGTTGAGCAGAAAAAAGAACATAGTGGGCTTTTAGCTTCTTTCAAAAATAATTTAATTAATGATCTTCAAAAATTTTCATGGCATACCGAGGATCCTCTCACAGCACACCGGCTGAAAAATCACTGCTGTATGGGGTAAAGACATTTTGTTGGGGAGATAATTAATTACCTTCTCTTTTGGCTAAGGTTGTTTATTGACAGATTTCTTCAGCCAGATCCAGAATGCCAGACTGAACCTCTGTTTATTGTCACCTAATCAGAGAGTCAAACTCCAAACTTAAAAAAGGGGAGGGTGCTTGGCATATAGTTCATATCCCTGGATTTAAGTCCTGTCTTTACTTAATATAATATATGGGAACCTATCACTGAAATTATAACCTTTCCTTCATTGCTATGGCATTGCTTTTGCTATATAAATGTCTTCAAGTCCTGTTTTGAAGACAAGGTCAGGCCATTCCATTGATCCTTCATACTCTTAAGCCTCTGATGCAATCCTGTCCTCTTTTTATATACATCCTATATGGTTGGGATACAACATATAGATATTAAATCCAATTGAATTCTGCATATTACTGATGACATTGTCTGGTTTTGGTCAGAGTTCAGTGATAGTGAAGTGAAACACACAATTGGCCCTTTATATTTATGGCTCCAGAATGAAATTTCCTCATCTTCTTTAGCACAATGGCTCATTATGAAGTTAATCTTTTTTTATTAAGTCATATATACATAAATCATGAATACATTTATGCCTTTGTGGGATTCAGTGTGTTGATTATTTGTGCAAATTGGAGTGCTTACATCCTGCTAATTAACATAGCTTTCACCTCATTTACTTAATCACAGTGTTAAGACATTTGGGTTCTATACTTGATAGATTTGACTTGTACCCTTGCAATATGCTCCATAGGTGTGATCCCACCATTAACCCTCCCTCTGTCGAACCACTCTACTCTCTTCCAGTCCCTCTCCCCTTCCCTCCTTTATCCTGGGCTATAGTTGCGATTCATCTTTCATATGAAAGTGTGAGTGATTATAAATTGGTTTTATAGTAGTACTGAGTACATTGGAGATATATATATATATTTTGCAGTTTTTAGCCGGGGCCAGGTTTGAACCTACCACCTCTGGTATATGGGGCCAGTGCCCTACTCCTTTGAGCCACAGGTGCCACCTACATTGGATATTTTTATTCCATTCCTGAGATACTTTACTAAGAAGGATATTTTCCAACTCCATCCATGTAAACATAAAAGAGGTAAAGTCTCCATCTTTTTTAATGCTGCATAGTATTCCATGGTATACATATACCATGTATAAAGTTAATCTTAAGGAAGCAAAATCAAAATTTCATCTCTACCACCTCCACCTTTTTTTTCTTGCAATGAGAATCTGATGCTTATATTCACGCTAGCTTACTTTATTATAATTTGGGCATATTTCATTATACTATGTATGTATATATGTAATAAATAACATCATTTCATTATATTAATATATAAATCCTTCTTGAGCAGTGCCCCCCTGCCCATCTCCTTACAACTGCTTTTCTGGTAACCATAGTCAAAATATCTCAACTCCTCTGTTCTTCCAGTCCATTTAAAAATTGTTAGGATTCAGGGCTGGGTGTGGTGGCTCACACCTATAATCCCAGGACTTGGGAGGCCGAGGCAGGTGGATTGCCTGAGCTCACAGGTTTGAGACCAGCCTGAGCCAGAATGAGACCTCATCTCTAAAAATAGTTGGGCCTTGTGGTGGGCACCATGGTGGCACCTATAGTGTTAGCTGCTTGAGAGGCTGAGGCAGAGAATCACTTAAGCCCAGGAGTTTGAGATTGGTGTCAACTATGCCGCCATGGCACTCTACCAAGGGCAACAAAGTAAGACTCTGTCTCAAAAAAGAAAAAATTTTTAGGATTCAAAAATGACATTATTCATGGCTTAGCATAGAAAGAGATGATGTATTTGAAGTGAAATTTAACACAATAAAAAGTAATTCATAAGTTTAATTAAGAATGTTTAGGAATATCTTTATTCATCATTACATTCTTTTCTAATTAAACTTGTCTCTCAAGTAATAATTTAAAATTGATTTTATTCTTTATTCTTTTCTTTTCTTTT